GCTAGCCTTGAGCTGAAGAGCTGAGGGACAGTGCCCAGGCCCAGAGTTCAGGCCCCATGACCGGACCCAAAAAAAAAAAAAAAGGTATTTGAACATCCATGTTTATAGTAGCATCATTTGCAAGAGCCAAGTGTCCACCAATACAAAGCATGAGTGAATAAATAAATGTGGTACTATTTGTCCTTAAAAAGGAAGGAATCTTTCTTTTTGGCAGTATGCTAAGTAAAATAAGGCAGTGATGAAACAACAAATACTATAAGATTCCACTTAACAAGGTACACAGATTAGTCACAGCCATAGACACACAACACAGAACAGTGGTTGCCAGGCAGCAGGTAGGAGAAGGTACTGGGAAACAGTCTGCTTTGAAAAGAATTCTAGAGATTGATTGCACAATAATGAAGGAACATTAAGACTGGTTAATATGGTAAATTTTATATCCTATATGTTTATTAAAAATACTAGTATATTAATAAGATAATAAAGGGAGATGCATTTGTTCATTAATATATTAGTATAATGTTATACTAACAAAACTATTTAAATGAATAATAAATAAATATAAATAATTAAATTAGTATCAAATAATTCGTTAACTTAAGTAATTAATATTAAATAAATATCAATTAAATATTAAAATGTATTTAGTAATTATTAACAAATACACTGTATTAATAAATATGTTATATTAATAAATATATTTATTTAAAACTAAGTAGATATGATATAATATATACTATATGATATAAAACATGTTGCTGGGTGCCAGTGGCTCAAAGCCAGCCTAGACAGGAAAATCTGAGACTTTTTCTTTAACTACAGAAAAAAGCGTGAAATGGCACCGTGGCTCAAATATATGTCATATATATATATATATATATATAAAATTTGAAGTGTACAAAAACCAAAGACCTCACAATTTACAAAATTCATACAGCCTTGTATAAATCTTCTTCTACAAGTACACAGAAGGCATCTAATAGTGGTGAGGAATGCCTTAATCTTGCATTGAATACTTATGATCTCAGCAAAAAAGTAGGATGCCTACAATAGAATAATCCAGAGCAACTATAAATTGCCCCTCCAATGCTCACATGCAATCTGTACTTCTCCAAAGCCAGTGTCTAGAACCAAATGCACTCTGTAAGGCAGCCTCATGAGCACAGGTGCACTAGGCCCACAC